CCTCATTCTATTTCTTGAAGTCTCCATAAATGGCTATTCATAAACCTAGAAATAGTCCAAACATGTAAGGACGGCAAGCTCAAACCATCTGGCGCAACGACTCTGGAAGGAGAGCAATACAATTCCCACGATTCTAAATTATATGGAATAACAATGAAACGTTTTTGAGGTGTACATAGACATGGTGGACAAACTTGATCTTGATTGGCTTGAAAGTCCAGTACTTACGAGCCGTCAGCTTAACCGTAGAGCACGGTAACAAAACACTAAATCAGACACTACCCGTCTGTACAGAAACGAACGCGGATCAAGAGCTTTCAGCCGTGCAGTATCCATGTACGACTTTCGATGAATCATGGCATGTTTCTATTGCGTATAGTATGTGGACGTATTAAGCTGGTAGCCAAGATTGTTAAATACTTTTATTAACGGTTGACGTTTCGGCGTCGTCGCCTTCTTCGGAACCTGGAAAGTCGAAAAGCATTCAGGAAACCCTTCGTTCAAACACTATTTCAACTACAGGAAAATTTCCAAAAGGGATGTAAACTACTAAGACGACGTCATAGGACCACTAATAAACTGACCTTTAGGCAGTCGAACCAGAGAGGTCCACCTGTCACCCCAAGCTGGTAATAATGCGGTTTAAATAGGGTGACCCTAGGGACCACTTGCTCGAAGGGTCTATCACGCAGATCAAACAACTGCAAAAGCCATCAATGGGTACTTGCGCCAGCTGACCCCTACCTCACTAATACTCTGCGAAGGGATGGCCTCCTAGGTCAAAAAACCGCCTCGCGCTATTCCTTCCTGTTGATCTTAGAGGTCTTGGAGTGATCCAACGTCCGACGCACCGCAACATTCAGTTCACGTGATAATATCGTGACCTCCACCTCAACGCCTGTGCCCTCATGGTACGGGCAAATTTAGATTTCTGCATGCCATCTAGGGTGGCGGACTTTAGTTGGAGTAGTCACTGTCTACTCAACGTAACGAGATTCTGACGACGACTATTCACAAGGTTGAGTGTTAGGAAGGAAATTTCTTTATAATGGCAATAGATTTACAACGAAATAAATAAAATGCACTTACTTAACATTCGAAAAATTATATGGTTTTACTAGTTACGTATCTAGCCATCCTTCTACAAAAGTCTTCTATTTGATCCTCAGTGGGCACGCTTCGATAACATTCTTCAAATCTGAAAGCAGTAGAGCGGTATTGCATCTCTTTTACTTGCAGTGCTTGGAAGACCCACTCTCTCATTTCCTCGGCTACCGTTTTTCTTCTTTCCAGATCTATTTTCCGCAGCACTTTGGCATGGGTTGGGTCCATGTAATGAACGTTGAATAAACACATAAAAATGGGTACTTTAGCAACATGATCAACTTCCAACCTCCTGCAGGCGTGTGAGAGTAGCACGTGTCTCGAAACTGAGCTTCCGAAGAGTGTCGATAAGTACACTCAGTGGTGGATGATCTACATGTATGAGAACCCCGAGCCGTCTGGCAGATCTGCCATATTCCATTTACACCACATGTCGTTAAATGCAAGAGCCCTCATACGCGGTGGCAATGCACGAAGGAATGGCGTACCTAAAATAGGAATATTCAAACTACCTTATTTACCTGCTACGATTTCAAAAGCTTACCTCTAGTAGTTTCCCACCACCCCACGATGCGATCATCTCTTTCCGGTCCAAGGATGTATTTTTTGAGGCCAAGGGCAATGCAGCTGCGGTTCCACGCTTGGGCAAGGTGAAAGCCACACCCTTGTACAGACGCTGTAGAAAAAACCTCCCGAGCTGCTTTTATCGCTGCCTTTTCAAAGTCCAA